TTGGAAGTCTTAGGTATGCCACTGATTATACTAGACCCGAAATTGCATATGTCGTAGGATTGTTATGCGGGTTTAATAGTAGACTAAGTAATGATCATTAGCAAGCTATTGAATGAGTCATGTGGTACCTTAAAAGTACCGTGAATCTCGGTTAGCATTATCAAAGATTTCCTGCTGTACTTGAAGGATATAGTGATGCATATTAGAATACCTTATCAGATGATTCTAAAGCAACTAGTGGATATGTATTCAGCATAGCTGGAGGAACTGTATCTTGGAAATCAAAGAAACTGACTATCCTGGCTCAGTCCACGGTGGAGTCTGAGATGATAGCATTAGTGACTGCTACTTAAGAAGCAAGTTCCCTTATGGGAAAAACCTATGTCAGCTATGTTAATCCACTACGATAATACCGCAAATATTTAAAAAAATGAGAACTGTTATTATAATGGTAAAAGACGTCAAATTAGAAGAAAGCACAACATTATTAGAGAGTGTATCTCTAAAAAAGTTGTAAGAGTGGATCATGTATGCACTGATGAAAATTTAGCAGGTCCTTTGACGAAAGGATTAACTAGAAAGAAATTTTATAATACATCATATAAGATGGGACTAATCCCTGTAGGAATATGATTTTCCCATGATGGTAACCCGGCCTAAATTACTAGAGATCCCAAGAAATAGGTTCAATGGGTAATAACAAGTTGTGAGTAATATGAGGCAATCATGTTAGAGTAAATAAGAGAAGCATGAATCCTGAAGCGATAATAAGATGAGATAATAAAACTCTTAATGAGATTTATACTCTATATGAGGGAGTATCTAAGCTACAGGAGTACTCTTGATAGACTCACCTATGTGATTGTGGAACTTAGTTCGGTTCCTATGGAATTGCGCGACAAAATTCCTAGAGCCTTCACTAAACCGGGATACACGTGCAGGGCCATTAAAACACGGACTATTAGAATACACCTTAAGAAAAGGTTGTGTGCGATTCTGATGTCTAAGATAGGCACTACTACAGAACGCACATATAACAATACCAAAGTCACCACGGTTCTTCCAAACACCATGGTGACACTTCTAAACTCAAGCGCTAACATTTTTTTAAAATTTTTTTATTAAAAATTTTAAGGGTATAATAATGGTTGATGAGAACACCGTGGTGATACCATCAAGGTTTCTTGGGTTCGAACCTCATCGCCCTTAAATAGTTTATTCCTTTTATGTTAATGTGTGCCTTTTCATTTTTATTTATATTTAAATTAGAAATAATATGGATATCACTACGGTTGTTTTAAAAAACCGTTGTTACACACTGGCGCTTTTTTATGAAATTTCAATTATGCAAAAAATATATCATTACGGTTCACAGTAATGACCGTCATGATATATATATATATATATATATATATATATATATATATATATATATATATATATATATATATATATATATATATATATATATATATATATATATATATATATATATATATATATATATATATTAAACTCTCGGTATCCAGTTTTTTACTGAAAAAAGAAACAATACGAAACAACCCTAACACCAATGTCATCGTCGTCGTCAGAAAGGAAGACAACAACACCGATATCGAATTCTCTTTTACGGTACATAAAATATTTTCGCCATTGTTGTTGTTTAGTTTTTTTCAATGTCGCATTTGAATATAAAATCATCCAAAGGTGTTTTTATGTCTTCTTCTTCTATAAAATCTCGATCTGCAAATTTTTGTGGTTGTGATGGTGGTATGGTTTCGTACCAATGCAAGAAGGGAAAGAATAATGGAATGATTTTTTGGAGATGTCCATTTTGGAGGAGTGGTGAGATATGTAATCTGTTCATATGGGATGAAGAAATTAGAGAAAAAGGTGGAAATGAAGTCAGAGTTATGAAGTCATAGCTGGAAGTTGTGGAAGCTATGTATTATTTGAAGGTTATGTATGAAGAATCAAAGAAGAAGAACAAGAATTTGAAGAACAAACTGAAATCAGAGAAATTTTTTGGAAATTTGAAGATGTTATGTTTTGTTATCTCCTTTATATTTAATGTTTACTTTGTTATGAAATGTAATAGTTGAAGTAGGGTTTGAATTGCATTGTTGATGTTGAAACTGCAGATGCAGTGAACTTGAAAGGAATGCAACTATCAGATGGTTTATTATGAGTAATTTCATCGTAATCTGTTAAAATTTGAATTACAGTTATCTGTTTATTATTTCAGCTTTTCGAAGATGTGTGTATGTTAGTTGATAGATTTTATGATTGATAGTTTAAGCTGATAGTTTAAATTGATAGTTTAAGTTGATAACCTTAAGAAAGTGAGAAAGCCATAGAGTTAAGGCGAATGATTAAAATTTCATTACATAAACTGTCATTACAAAAGGCCTTAATAATCATATCAAAATGCTCTGGCCTAGAGAAATTTTAACCAAGTATAATCCAATTCATCATCATCAGAATCGAAAAATAATTGATATGCCTTCTCACCCTTCTTCTTCTTCTTCTTCTTTTTCTTACTCTCCTCTACCCGAGAGCTTTCTTGGGTCTTAAAAGGTCTTGATTTTGAGGAGGCAGAACATCTTCATCATTGTTGGAAGCTCTCTCAGCATTGTTGAAAGCTTCAGCAGAAGTACTCATTTTAGTTCTTCTTTTTCTCTGATTTCTTTGGATGAAGTTCTTTTTGTGTTTTGGTTCAAAGAGTAATTCCGGTTTTATATCATTTCTTCTGATTCTTCCTCTTCTTTGATCCTTGAAATTCTAAAAGCAAAAATATTTCATGCATGTCAAGTTTTCTCATTATTGATTCTTTAATTCCTCGAGCTGTTGAATTAATGATTATATCTACTTGTCTTTTCATATATATTTTTTCCTTATTTGATATTCCTACTTACGTATACTTTGATGTAATACAAGTTTTGATATCAATTCAAAAATGGTGTATTGTTGATTCTGGTATGATATGAATGAGATTTATTCATAAACAATATCACAACGGTCTCACAACTGTTGTTATAGGACGCACATTTTCCAGTTTACTACTACGGTTACTGGACCGTAATTGAAAGTAACACATATACAACCACACACTACATAACAATGTCTATATCTGCGTGATTATATATCATTTCCAACCGTTGTTAAAGGCCTTTTTCGTAGTAGTAAGAGTTCAAGACAATAGTGTCACTCTTGTTGATCGGAGTCATACTTGCTAAACAAAGGTTCAAGAAGTAGAAATATTTGTTTATGCACAGTCTTAGAAACGTTTGACGTTACTTCTAAAATCACCTTTTAAATTCAAGTGGGGGATTGTTGGAAATCTTGGAATGATGTTAACTTGGAGTGTGAATTAGAATGATTTATTGACATTAAATGGATACTAAATGAGCACAAATAAGAACTAATATGAAAGTGAATTTGAAAGGATTCATTTTAGTCCCACATAAGAGGGAACAAAAATATTAATAGTGTATATATGTTCCAACTTGGTCAAATGGGTTGGGCCCAAAGGGGTATCTAATTTTGTAAAGGAGTGAGGACACGCCATCTAGACACTCACGCGCGCGTCGTTGCCGTCTGGTTCGGCCCGGTCTAGATGAATTAATTTTTAGAGCCCGAATTGGTGAAATTTAATTAATTACGAATTAATTGATTCCGTGGAAATTAATTAATATTAATTAATTAACAATGATGATGTGTCACTCATTCAAAACCCAGTCTTAACCTACTTTTGATCGAGTTTGACCTGCCCTTCAAGAATGAGTCAGAGTATGACTTGCTGACCAAGCAAAAACAACTAATAATGGGCCTGAAACGTTCAACTCCCTCCACGTTTTTTCTCCACTAATTTGAATCGCATGCCTATAAATAGAGCCTTCAGTTCATTTTCAGACCACTCTAGATTTCTGAACCTTTCGAAATCTCTCTTCATCTCAAATGATTTTTTCTGTTCTGGTTTTCGAGTGGCTTCTTGCGCCATCAACGACTGGATTATTTCTAGATACAACGAGTGGTTTAAACGTCCTTTAAAGATATATTCTTCGAATGATTCATTACGGTGCAAGTGATAATAGTAACTTTGAACGAGTTGTTTTATCCTGAAGACACCGTCGAAATTTGTTTGTTTTGCATAATTATTAGAAGTACGGCAAAATGTTTTAAAGGGAACGAAACGATCCGCAATTCGATCTGATAAAAAAAATTTGTGGCAATTTTTCAAAACCAAAAATAACAATTTTAAGATGTTTCTTTAACTACCATGGCTACCGAAGAAATTATCGATGATGCTTTAAATTCATTTGAAAAAGTTTAGTGTTTGAGTCTTCTTCTTTAATCCATCTGATTTTGAATTTTGGTTTAAGCTCTCTTAATGTTATAGGTGTTGCCAAAAGGATGCAGCTGCATCTCTACACTAGACAAGAACCACCCCTGACGATCATGCTTAAGTTCTTCTGCCACTATTAATAAAGTTATAAATAGAAAGCGTAGAGAAGAGAAGACGACAAGTGCAACCGGTTATGAAGATTATATAAGGTTCCATCAAGTATTCAAGATGGTAAAAAGAAGTTAATAGCCCAATTCCAAAGAAGTTTGATACATTATTATGCATACCCTTCTGAATTTAACTCATGAGAAAACTGCTAATGAGAACATTAATCACATTGGCTTTTGATTATAATTAGCAAATTCTGTAGAGAGCCACTGATTTTTACTTCCTTCAACTTAATGTAATTACCTAAGCAACGGTAGCAATAGATTATTATTTTTAAGGTATAAGTTGAAATTGCAACCAAGTGCCAATACAGATATTTTGACATGAAAAAATAATATTCTTCTTTCATATAGAATAAAAGGGATGAAATGCACTTTATGCTTTACTAATGACTACATTCCCAGAAAAGAATAAAAAAGGTTTCTTTTTCTATTTCCATTCTACTATCCATAAATAAATAAATAAATGTAAACCAAAATATCCAAATTTAGAAAGTCCATAATGATATCTCTTGATCTTGATAGTCTTGTTCATCAATATATTGAAACTCTTGATCATGATATCCAAAACTATGTGTTGGGGACATTAGAGCCATGTTCCTCCACATCTCTGGCATGCTCATATCTTCGTCTTCTTCCTCTACCATGCACTGCATAATCTGCTCCACTGTGGCGGAGGCAGCTACAGCCGTTTCAATGTCAACATCGTTAGTCGTTGAAATCTTTTCAACTTCGTTAGTCACTAAAATCTTTTCTGGTCTGAAAGCCTCGGCAGCTTCTGTAGCCGCCTTTTGTATATCTTTTGCCTCAGAACTAACTGGTTTAGGGAGCCGCCACGTTGAGTCTGCAAAATTGAGACAGGCGTAGCGGCCCCTTAATGCCATTGCAGCAACATCGTGTGCTCGGGCAGCCATCTCGACAGTTGGAAAAGTCCCTAACCAAATCTTAGTCTTCTTGTTAGGCTCTCTCATTTCACACACCCATTTATTATTGTTTCTTCTCCTCACACCCCTATACACCGGATGGCGAGTCTCCTTGAACTTCTTCCTCCCTGCACGTTTCTTCGGGGTACTCGCAGCTAACCGTATTTCTTCATTTGATACGAACATCCAATGAGAGCCATCTGAATTCTGCAATGAAGTGTCAGAAGAGCAACAAGAAGAGTTGTTTGTAGTAAAGATATCCATGTGTTGGAGAGAGTGATAGTGAAAGATGGAAGTGAAGTAAAGAGGTTGTGGGTTTTTGATTTGAGAGAGTGAAGAGTGAGATGTGTTATATATACATAGGGAAGATAACAGTGAGAGTGAGTTGGATATTCTAGAACAAACGAAGTATCTTAGCTTTCTGTTATTTGTCCCTCATAATTCTTTCTCGTCGTTTTCTTTTGAAGCAAACGCGTTAATACAGAGATAATATATTCTTCCTTCCACTTGTTTTCTTTCTCAGCGCGTTAAGTAATGAGCTCAATTATCAGTTTTTTGTCGCTTCAACTTCTTTCACGGCTGTTTCGTTTAATCCAAACACGGTTTAAAAGAGATGATTTCTTATTCCTTCCTTTTCTTTTCCAGTAAGTATCTGATCCCTAAATCCAAACACGGACTTAAATAGAAAATATCTTCTTCCTTCCACTCGCTTACTTTCCCAGCGCGCGTAAATTCTGCACCCCCGCAAGCTTCAATTATTATTTTATTTTATTTTCTCTTAATTATTTTTCCAAATGTACACAACTGTTGTAATTTTTAAGGAGAACACCAATTATCCTAAAGTCTGTTTCTAATCTAAATTTTATTTACTTTTGTTTTAAAAAAATTGTTAATTAATTTATTTTTAATATTTATTTAACACAAAAATGTCATTTAATTATTATTGATTTGGATAAATATTGATTCGGAAAATTAATAAAATATTACTTAAATATAATAATAATTTTATTACAATTTTTTAATGCGGTCCATCCAAGTGACATCTGATTTCACACCAACGAGGTATTAATTGTCATTGTGATTTCTGTTGGTTATGTCGAGGTTGTTGAGAAGAAGTCCTCGCTCTATCATCTGGATAAAGAATCTCGAGGAATGTATCAAAATTTATCTCATTGTTGTAGTTTAATTTGTTGCTCATGTGTTAAAATTTTGGTTGTGTAGTTATAATGGTTCGACAATAGCATTCTTGGTGAAAAGATGGATTTGATGTGAATTATTGTGTTGGGTAAAAGGGAATATATTGTTGTGGTGTTTGGTAGTTGATGTTTTTCAGAGGTGTTGTTTGTGTGTATTGATATGTGTATGACGAGTTGGTGGCTGATGTTTGTTGTTGGAAATATGGATTAAAATGTTGGGATTGTTGTTGGCAGACAAGGTTATACTCTTGATTATTTAATTGAGTGTATGATATGTATTGGTTTTGGGTGTTAATGAAAGATTGTGGTTTAATTTGGTAATTTTGTTGTGTTGGAATAGAGAGTATGACACGTGTTCGTTTTGGGTGTTAATGAAAGGTTGTGGTGTGGGTTGGTAAATTTGTTTTGTTGGTATATTGATAAGTGCAAAATAGTCGTTATATTTGTGTATATTTTAGTGGCACTTATCGACTCATTTTGTTGTAATCCTTTGAATAAACCTCAACTTGTATGTGTATTTGTACATACTGAGTATAATCGTGTTTTTGTGTAGATATTGTATTGTTTGATAGTTTTCCATCTCTTTTGTAGGTATTTATTCATAATTAGAGCATAGAGTAATAAGAGTCAAATGCATAGCTTCAAAGAGGCGATTTTGAGTAATCCATCAAAGAATAAGGCTCAAATCAAAGAATAGGAAATCATTAATTTCATTAATATTTAGTCATTGTTAGATAGAGCATTAAATAAGTTTTTCAACGCTTTCGACCGTGTGTAAATCGGAGTAACGGTTCTCAAGTTATGGTGAAAACAAAATCTGATTTTTTTTCTCATGACAGCAGAGTCCGCTTAGCGGGCTCTGTGCCGCTAAGCTGGATCTACGAATTTCAAAATCATTAAATAGGGAAAAATTACATTTTTAGGTTATGAGTTGGGTATTTTTGAGTCACAACACCATCACCTTCCATTCTTTGATATTTTGAGAGTTTAGACAACAACAATGGGGTTTGCATTTGGATGATCTGGGGTCAAGTTTCTCATTGATTGGTGTTTACAAACCAAGAAATGTTTAGTTCCTCTTCTTCTCTTCTCTTCTCTTTGTAATCTCTATTTGTTGGAGTTTGTATGTATATTTATCTTGATTATATGTATATTTATTCCTCATGGTGTTGTATAAAACTTATTTTATAAATCAATATTGATGATTGCTTTCTTTATATGGATTTGATTCGTTACAGACATGGATGGATTGATTTCGTATTTAGGATGAACATCTATTGAATTTTGATTCTATATATATATTAGGACTTAGTATTCAGTTGGGTATCAGAACTTAATGCTTCTGTGTTGTTTGTGTTGCGCTGAGAGATTTTTGGCGCGAGTAATATGGTCATTATCTCACTCTGTGTTAGAAATAACCTATGTGTGAGTGATACTGATGATGTTGATGAGTATTTTATGTTGATTGCAACTGAGTAGTAAGTTTAAGTATTTGATAGGGTAGATGAAATGTAAAACCGGGAGTTCTCTCCTCTCCGGAGAATGAATTCTTTTCTTGTTAATAACTTTAATTTCCGCATTTACTTTAAACCCATTCAAAAACCAAACTCATAAATGTGAGTCTTATCGAACGGAAATTCAGTAGCACTAATCTTTGTGGAGACGATATGATAAAACTAAATAAATACTTACTTTTTGTTGCCACTTTACCGCTTCAACAAAATGGTGTCGTTGACTGGGATTGGTATTTTTATTGGATCATATTGTGATAGTTTCTTTGTTTTTGAGTTTTGTACATAATGTCCATATTGTGTAATTAAAACTTGTATATGTATATTTGCACATTTACTTTTCTATGTTTATCATACTTGTGAATTTGTACATGTTTTTCATATTTGTCAATCTTTGTATATATGTTAGCTTTATATTTGTTTTATGTTTGATTTCGTACTTGTACATGTGTGTTTTCTTGTTGTTCAAAGTGATGTTGTAAATTTTGTTTTCGTAACGCTTGTTCAAGTGCTTGGTTAGGTCACTTTCTTTAGGTTTGTGCAGTGTGGCAACACCTCGCCATGATTTGAGGAAGTTATTAGCTAGTACAATAAAGATGTCGAGCTAACAACGTAAAAAAAGCATGTTTTATTGTTTTTAATTTTAATAGTTTAGGTAGTGTGGTGAATGTTGGTTAAACAAGTTGCAATTGGATCAGTTCTTAAAATTCTCAAATCATCACTTTTCAACTTGTTTAATTCACTTTCACCCGGTCGTTTAGTATGTTTATAGTAATTTGTGTTAATGTGTTAATTTTTGTGTTTTCCAAAAGCTTATCGTGTTTAGCTTGAGGGATAATTGTTGATTGTAAACTTTGTACATTGTTGTGTAGCTGAGGTTGTGTAGGTGTAGTGGAGGTTGACAAAGAAATTCAGTTGATGTTCTATTTTTCATGCCATTCATTCGTTTACATTGCTTACTTATTAATTGAATCATTTTAGTCATGTTTTACCCCAAATCTGAGGAAGTTTTCCATTGTTCATATATGCTAGAGGCCACAATTCTTGTTCTAACTATATTTCATTATGTTTAATCTTTTGTTTACGTTGATTGTATAGAAGCATGAAAAGGATCAAGATATTTTTGTTTCATTTTGAACAAACTACCAGATCAAATAGTCAATTCACCCTGTGAGTGTTTGAGCATTTGTTACCCCCCTTTGAGCCTTTTTTTCATATTCATGTTATAGTTGAACTTGATACTTGTCTATGAGTATTTAGTTCTCTTTGTATATGTATTTTGATTATTTTTGTTTCTTGAATCCTCAACCTTGTGTTGTTGTATGAATTTTTACCTTGCCTTAGAAAGTAGAGAGTATTCACACTTTGATGTTGGTTAAATTCAAGTTGGGGAGAGGAATATTTGCTTACTTATGTTGTGGTTGTTATGTGGTTATGAAAGAAAAAGAAAAGAAAAGAAAAGAAAAAAGAAAGAAAAGAAAAAGAAAGAAAAAAATGGAAAAAGTTTTGAAAAACAAAAACAAAAAGAGTAACAATAATGTTGTGTTAATAAGTATGTGTTTGGTGTAACACTTGGGTTGAAAGAAGAAGTTTGATTGAAATTTTCTGTTTGAAACTTTGTGAGTTGATCACTCTCTTAGGTTTAGGAATGTTTTTTTTATTAGCCTAGATAATTATCCCTTGCTGGTTAACCAAGCCACATTATAACCTTGAAAAGCCCTTGTGATTATTTCCTTTGTATGTTTAATGTAAATTTTTGGATGAATGCATAATTTAGTCTTTTGTTTACAAGATTGTTTGATGAGTGTCAAATCCTCACCTTTGTGTGTTTTTCATCCCTCGATGATTTTTTGTTAGGTGTGATTTATGATGTGAGTTTGTATTGATTTAGATGGTTTAGCATGATATTTGTACTTAGGATTAGTTTCGTTTTTATGTTTTCGTTATAGTGTAGTGTTAAGTCTTGCCTTGCTTGTACGCTTTTGTACTGAATCATACATTTGTTTTTATTTTCGAAAACTTGTTGATTCATGATTCTTGGTGTTTACTTTGGCTTCTTTAGGTTTATTGATTCTTTTTTTAAGACAAACAAGTTTAAGTTCGGGAGAGTTTGATAAGTGCAAAATATTCGTTATATTTGTGTATATTTTAGTGGCACTTATCAACTCAATTTGTTGTAACCCATTAATTAAACCTCAACTTGTGTGTTTATTTGTACATATTGAGTATAATCGTATTTTTGTGTAAATATTGTATCATTTTATAATTTTTCATCTCTTTTGTAGATACTCATTCATAATTGGAGCATCAAGTAATAAGAGTCAAATGCATAGCTTCAAATAGGCGATTTTGAATAATCCATTAAAGAATAAGGCTCAAATCAAAGAATAGGAAATCATTAATTTCGTTGATATTTAGTTATTGTTAGATATAGCATTGAATAAGCTTTCCAATGCTTTCGACCGTACGTAAATCGGAGTTACGATTCTCAAGTTATGGCGGAAACAAAATCTGATTTTTTTCTCATGACAGCAGAGTGCGCTTAGCGGGCTCTGTA